CAGCAGTGAGCAAGCCAAGTGAAAGACATAGCCCTAAGTATCAAGTCAGGATACATGCACACACCTGCACACATTCATATGCATGTGTGCGCACGCACACACACAGACACACACACACTCACACACATTAATGAAATAAGAATAGAGAAACAAATCACTGTGAAAAAAATGTTTAAAAACATATTTAGTAAGCTCTCCAGTTTAAAAAAGAGAAGTTGTAAATTTCCAGTAATTCATTAAGATCACTCTATGTTTACAGACTACCAGATTCACTTGGAATTCATGAGGGCTTAACAATAAATAAAATACATACATACTCAATTACTTGGAGAATATAAAATTATAGCTCTGTTTTTAAGGTTAAAATGTACTGTAACTGATCCCTATCACATAGATAAAAGTATCTTGCTTGTAAACAAGTCCTAGGAAAAGGTGATATGAATTCATGCCAAAAATCAAAAAGGAAGGGTTCAGAAAGCTCATAGTCCTATACTACTTTCATCAGAAGAAAGTGAGGTTCCACTTGCCTCAAGTCGGCAAGTAGGGTATCAGTTGCCTTTAGTGCCTAGACACTAGAAATGAGAAGGTGCCTACTAACCATTTGCTAAATGAATGAATAAACCCAAGATCAGACTATAACCCACAGAAAGGCAATTCCTTCACTGATTTTATATATAGTTGAAGGAATAATGTAGAGAAATTGTCATAACAACACATTTTAAGCACAAAAGGATATACACAGGGATAAGAACTAGAAGAAAAGGTATAAAAATGATTCAGGTAGAGTTTGAGATGGTACTAATTATATAAAGGATAACATTTAATTTATGTGGAAGGACAACACTGTTTTGCAACAGTGTAATTGGGTAAAAAGAAATAGTGTTAGTCCATAACAAATACTTTTACATTTTCATAGGAAAGTCTATATAGAAAAAAGGAAGTAAATTTGTCTCCATGTCAATTCCTCATAAAATATTCCTTCAAGTATTTCTCCAATGCAGCCAACAGCTACCCACAAACATTAATGAAGGAAAAGGAATAAAAGTGATGAAAAACGTGAATCTTTGAAGGGAACTAGGAAAAACCAAAAATCTATATTAAATGCAGTTTGTCGAGATTACTCAAGGAATTAAGAACAGTCAATGAAATGCCAGCCAGGACACATGTAGACATGCTATCCTTTACATTTTCAAAAGAAAATGTAAAAGCAAGAACTATAATCATTGACCTGTTAACTTCATTCTTTCTTAAGTATTAAGAGAAATCCAGAAGAAAACAATTACAGAAAATATGTTTATAGGAATGGTTCACATCTTAAAAACATCAGCTGGCACAGATGAAAAGCTCTAGAAATGATGAACAATAATCTTTAAGAACAGCATACATTTCCAGCCACACAGAGTTAAAACTGGATTTTTTTTAAATAGGAAATTAAAAAAATCTCATTTCATTTACACGTTTTCTTGAATCTGACTTTGCAAATGGAGCTTTTAAAAATCTCTCCAAAAAATAAAAAAGCCTACTCCTACACTAAAAAATCTATGTTGACAAAAATATTAAACAGCTAAGACAAAACTGAGAAGAAAAACATAAAAATTACTGAGAGTTTTAGCAAGAAAACAAAACAACCCAGTTACAGTTTCAAATTATGCACCTTTCGGGTACGAAATAGTCAATGAACTACAGAAGTGGGGATGCTGGACTGACCTATGCCATGTTGGCCACATAGTGGATGATGGGGTTTAACTGGGTTTAACTGATGCCATCTTCTCTTTGTGGTAGTGGCAAGAAAGTCCCACCTCCCAGGTGATGGATGTGCCTGAATTCTTAGACGTAGGGGTGGGGACAATGGGTTACTGGACCTGCCAGTTTTGGGTCATGAACTCTTGAGCTCCTTGTGAACCTGCCCCCTGAGCTGATCTTACTTAGGCCCAGACCAGCTCAGGCGCCATTATGCCATGTCTCGTGTTTCTATGTTTCCTGTCTCCTGGCTCTCCTCTGGCCACCATGGCACCCCACTTCAGCTCTCCACTGGGGTTGATCTGGCTTGTAGGTATTGTTCTTCTGCTCTTTCTTTCCTTTCCTGCTCTCATGGCTCAGATTTCTGACAGTGTGAAGTGTATTCAAAGGGCTGCAGGTCTTGTGACAAGAGTCTACCTGCAGTAGCCAGCTCTCCAACAAAGACTCCTGATTCCACCCCTCAAAATGTGTTTTCTCTGTTTCTCACCACTGAATTCCCTTACAACTCTACCACTAATAACAAATGTCTTAACTTTCCATTTACATATTTATATGTACATGTTTCCAAATGTTCAGTCAGTAAAAATCAGTATTTGATGGACTATGGCTTTAAAACTACATATCTCAGGCTGGGCACAGGTGGCTCATGGCTGTAATCCTAGCTGCTCAGGAGGCTGAAATCTGAGGATCTCGGTTCGTAAGCCAGCCTGGGCAGGAAAGTCCATGAGACTCTTTTCTACAATAAACCAACAGCATCTAGGCCCAGAGTTCAAGCCCCATGACTGACAAAAAAAAAAAAAAAAAAACCCACACATCTCTAAAACCAGCTGGGGTATTTTTCATGAATGCTAATTCCAATACCTCATTCCCCAAACTTCTCCATCAACTGGTCTGTAATAAGTCCAGAAATCTAAAACGTCAGCATGTAGCTTATACAGTAGCCTTAAGATAGTGATCTACATCCCTTCTTGACATGACACCATTTAAATCTACAGAGATAAAAACTTAATTACCTGAGCCAATTAGGTGGCAGAGCTAGAGTGACAACCCCTAACTATAACCTCCCATTCCAATCATCAGTCCCATTCCAATCTTCAGTAATTTTCAACATATGCTATAATGCTTCCCTTCCACCTCTAACCCTGTTTACTGTCACTGAAGGAAAGACCAAAGTGAATTAGTAAAATGAGGTATATATTAAAGGAAAGGAAACGGAAGATAATGCCTATGTTAGAATGGTATAGTTCAATTTCTTTACTTTTATTATCTTCATGTTATAAAGTTGTATGGGCAACAAATTCATTATGTCACAATAATTGGGGGGTGGGGGAGGGAAAGCCAGGTGCCAGTGGCTTACACCTGTAATCCTAGTTATTCAGGAGGCTCTGATCTGAAGATCACAGTTCAAAGCCAGTCCAGGCAGGAAAGTCTGTAGGAGTCTTATCTTCAATTAACCAACAAAAATGCCAAAAGTAGAACTGTAGCTCAAGTGGATATAAAAAGCTCAAGGATAGCTCCCAATCCCTGAGTTCAAGCTAGCATTCAGATTCTTTATAAGTTTAGAGTTTTGCTTTTGAGTTAAATACTGCATGATAAACTGTAATCTCTAGAAAAACTAATCTTAACTTTCCTTGTCTATACAAAAACATAGGAGTATATCTTCTTTATGTATTTGTAGGGAAGGTTCAAAGGAAGTATTTACAAACCATTTGCCACAATACCTGGCACTCAACATGTGGCAATTATTATGTAATGTGTGTTCAACTACTAGTACTGATGATAAGTTCATATAAAAATTTCCTGGTCACAAAATGTCAGTCTTACTTTCAGAGAATAAGAATATCAATCTTACTTTCAGAGAATAAGATCAGTTCATATGAGCGACAGAACTCATTGCAAGTAAAAGATTAAAACCTCAGCTTGACAGAAATTTCCACACAACTACATGCAAATTATTCATTTGCAACCTGCACTCCAATAACGAAAGTTTTAATCACCTACCTTCACAGACTAAAATCTTTTCAGTCTATACGCATTAATAAGCTGTACATCAGTATTCTTTTTTAGGAATATGCTAACTATCCATGCTATTAGCACATTGACACTGCTCAATGATGCCTTCCATAGTTAATTGGCTAAGAAATCTTATCCAAAAAAATTTAATGAATAAGTTCACATTAAAGTTCAGAAGATGCCTTGGATAAAAATCTCTAGTTAATTTTTTTCCCAAATGCTGTGTGTTTTCTTGAGTTGATAATCTTGGTTTTTTTTCTTATGAAAATAACATTTTACTTTTCTTACCAAAACCCATTATAATGAATCATAAAATGAGTTTGTCTTAGATCAAACATCTAAACCACACAGTTTAACTGCACAAATAAGTAATTACTAAGCACCTAATATATAACAGGTCTAATGACTAAGAAGAAAGCATTCCCAAAAAGAAGTAAAGGAAAATTCTCTACATATTGTAGCCCAAAAATAATTAGAGAAAATAGTCAATAAAATCAAATAAAGAAAATAGGACTTGCAAAAGTTTATTATCACCATCAGTCTCCTGAAAAATACTTAAATTTCCCATTGGGTATTTCATGTAACTCAAATTCAATAACCAATAATTCAATACTGTTTTTGCATATGTGCTATGTGAATGAATGTATGAATGTATGTATGCCTGTATCTGAGTTTGTACACACACACACACACACACACACACACACACACACACACACACACACACACACACGTACACACGCACACACATAGAGAGATCACTTGTCTTCAGTAAAGCAGTTTCCCCAGAAGCAACACATATGCTCAAAAACAAAAAACAAATCAATAAAATCGTGTAAACTCAAGAAAATATGCTACCTGTTGTCACTCTATAATTTTCTACCACAAAAATAAAAGCAGCTTAACAGGTGCAGAACTGGGCCTATTTCTTCAACAGCTGTAATGGTTAATTGGTTCTTAATTATTCTTCCATGTAATTTTGCATTACTTAAACTAAGAAATACACTTCAAAAATTATTTTCAACTATTTAATCTTTTTTGGTTTCTTAAAAATGGTCATGTCCAGACTCAAATTTTGACAGACTTTCCTGAAACAGGAAACTCAACCACTCTCTTTGTTATACTTAGTGAATTACTCAATGCAAAAGCCAAGACTCTATTAATAAAAGCCACAGTAACTCTAACCAAAACACAGTTGTTATTATAAACAAAGAGTAACACTTATCCATCATGTACAGTGCTCTCACCTGTTCATTTTTGCAGAGCCACACATTACTTCCCCTCAATGCAGTAAAAATTTTAGCTTTATAACCCCTTAGTTCAAGATAGCCACATTTCTCAGGTGCAACAGCAGCTTGAGACTGAGAAGTAAGAGACTGTGATTTCAGTGCATTGAGCAGTATGCTGATCCAGTCATTTCTCTCCTCTGAAAAATAGAAGAAAATCAATAAATCTATACTTAATTTATACAGCATAGAAACATCAACAAGGACTTTGCTTGCTTTAAAACAGATAATTCACAATTCTTTCCCACAAACACATTCTAAGTGCTGTTGCAGGCAGGGCTAATATCCCAATTCTCCGCCAGAAACATTAAAAACACTTATTTGTCCACAAAGCAGTACCACTGGCTTCCCTCTGGAGCTTTCAAACAATGCAAAATCTCAGGCCCTGCTCCAGACCTAATGAATTAGAATTTGCACATTAAAAAAGAATTTTGGGTGAATTAATTCTTGTTAAAGATCAAGAAGTATTCTCTTAGATGATTCATAAGATGGAATTTTCCTTTGCTATGGTTCAAACATGACATGTCCTCCATTAAATTGTTGGTCCCCAGTTAGTGGCCCTATTCTGGGAAGTTAAGAAACTTTGGACCTACCTTGGGGAAGCAGGTAAATAAGGTGATGTCACTAAGTTTATACAGTTCTTCCTTTCCCTCTTTCTCTCTTTCTCTTTCTGTTTCTTTGTCCTTCCCTCCCCCCACTCTGTTTTAGCAAGGCAGTAAAAAGAACTTCTCTACCTACCATGGGGGCCAAGTGGCCATGCAATGAAACTTCTCTAAATTAATTAATTAATCTTACCTACTTTGTTTTTGTCAAGTATTTAGTCACAGCTGTGCAAAAGTGATGTATACACTCTTTGTAATACATGAAAATAGTCTTGCTGTTCAACAATTAATAGACTGTCTATGGCAATTCAGTCACTCAAAAACACAGAAAGTCATAGACCTTCCTTGATATTCTGTCTTCTTTTCCACTCTCACAGCAACTACATATCCCAAATAGTAAATTAAAACTTGGTACTACCACTCCAACAAATGCTAAGAGACCTTCAGTTATGTACAGTACACTGGAGTTAGGTAGCATAAGAAATCAATGTCTTCCCTAAGCAATCGACACTATTAAGGTAGATGTGGACACATAACTAGGCATGGAAGAGTACAATTGTCATATGAATACTATCAAATAATATATGAGTCACTCAGCAAATCACTGAGGTAAGTGATTTGCTGAAGGACATATAGCAACCAGTATTAAAACTGGACCATTTAGAACTATCCAATGTATGAACTTGTACATATAGTGTTTTTGACACCATAGAGAAAGGTTTTGGGAGAAGCATTTGTGATGTCTCTAAAATGAGTAGCAATACAAAAGAAAAAAATGGAGTGTAGGAGAGGGAAAATCAGATCAGGATCTTGAGCAAGGACAACACAAGAATAAAGACAGGAAAAGCCAACATCTGCACTGAGGAGCTAACTTAGATGAATATACATAGTTTTGAACTCACAAGGAAATAATAGAAAATGTTGCTAGAGGATCTGCACTTCCTATTTAAAGAATTCCATTTTTTTTTACTACAAGAATGATTAACAAGGAAGAAACATGATTACGATATTTAAGATAAAGACAATTGACAGGAAGCACACATGTTAAAGAGTAAGACAATTGACACTGAATACAAAAGAACTCACAGAATCAGTATATTAGAACAGTTCTGCGGGAGGCTGGGAAGGTGGCTTAGTGGTAGAGCACTTGCCTTGCATGCATCAGGCCCTTGGGTTCGATTCCTCAGCACCACATAAGCAAAAAGAAAAAAACCAGAAGTGGCGCTGTGGCTCAAGTGATAGAGTGCTAACCTTGAGCTGAAGAGCTGAGGGACAGTGCCCACGCCCAGAGTTCAGGCCCCATGATCGGACCCCCCCCCAAAAAAAAACAGTTCTGAATATGTATGATGCATTTTCATAAAAACAGTAATAAATCATTCAGAATAATTGTTAATTTGGTGAAATATCTTGGCCAAGGGAAGTGAGAGAATCTAACTAAGCAACAAAACTGCCTCAGGTCTTCAGTGCATAAGCATCTAGATGTTAAGACTGGGAAGTGAAGCTGTGGCTCAACTCTTGGAGCACTAGCCTTGCTCAAGGACAGCACCCAGGCCCCGAGTTCACTAAAGGAGGATTTTCTTAGGAGGGGAATCACAAAGGCTCAATTGCCATGTGCATATGATAACATAAAATAATAGTTATTGAATGAATTCCAAGAAATGGAAACGAGGCATTCTTTTTTTCTTTGATGCTGTTTCTGTTTTCTTTACCTTTGTTTGAAAATCTATCTGTCTTGTTTGTAAGTTTATATGTTTGGGGGAGGGTAAGGGGAGACACAGGAAAGGTGGGACAAAGGGTGAACAAATACAGCAGTGGTACTCACTAGACACTTTGTGGAATGGAAAATGAACTATGAGTGGAGACAGGAGGGGAAAACTGGGAGAAAGGAAGGGGAGATACAGTTCAAGAACAAATGTACTAATTACCTGGCTTAGGAACTGTAACCCCTCTGCACATCATCTTTACAATAACTATATATAATAAAAAAATTTTAAAGTAAAATAAAAATAGATGGAAAGAGTGGAACCTCTGAAATGGACTGGCATCTTTCTTGCAGAATGATTATTATGACAGGTGTACTGACAGCATGACTGTAGTCAATCAAAGGGTGGTGATGAACAGAATTCAGACAGGAGTGATTGCTTGTAGCATAGGGTCAGCAGAGAAGATGCTGAGAACTGGACAGCATCTGGGCATATTTTCTGAGTCAACTGACAAGATTGATTGGATGTGAAACATGAAAAGACAGAAATATTTAAAAACAAGAACCAGCTCACAGCCTAAGCACCTGGAGCTTCCGTTTGTTGTGAGGAAGGAAAAGTAGATTTGGTGGAGTGCATGGAAATAACCATTTGGACATCTGATGTTTAAGATGCGATTAAACACACCTGTTGAGATGTCAGTTAAGCATCTGAATAGGATTCTGAAATTCAGGCTACAGATTTTCACTACTGTAAAACTATAACTTAGGACTCACATAGCTTAGGACTCACTTAGCTCCTCACTACATATGTTTTGCATAAAGAATAGTGATCAGACAAGAAATAGCAATTCAATTTATTCAGGTCTAACAATAATGCATTCAAAATTAACTTTAAAATGCAAATTATTCTGATATATTTAGCTTCTTCACATTTCTATTTTTACCTGACATATTAATCTCATGAGATATTAATGATGATATTTTTATAAGGAAAAGAAATAATCTTACCTTCTTTTTCTGCTCTGAAAACAAAAGTTCTTTGTGTTGTAACAACTTCAAATTTATTGTCTCCTTGAGCTCGTACTGCAGATACAGCAGAGATGGGAATTATTCCCTTTGAATACATCTCCTATATTGGTTAGAGAAAAAGATAACAGCACATTAAAATGAAATTGTTCTGATCTTATCCAAAAAAAAAAAAAAAATATGAAGCCAGGCACCAGTGGCTCACACCTGTAATCCTAGCTACTCAGGAGGCCTGAGGTCTAAGGATTGCGGTTCAAAGCCAGCCCGGGCAGGAAAGTCCATGAAACTCTTATCTCCAATAAACCACCAGAAAACCAGAAGTAGCACTGTGGCTCAAGTGGTAGAGCAGTAGCCTTGAGCTGAAGAGCTGAAGGACAACACTCAGGCCCAGAGTTCAAGCCCCATGACCGACAAAACAAAACAAAACAAAAGACACAGTATTTACAACTGGTTCTCATTAATGATTTCAATCTTAATTTTTAAAATGACATACAGATACATTGCTTTTATACCCCCGAAAGAAATCTATTAAATATCTTTTTCTATTAGGAGAAATGCCTATTTAATTTTCTCTTCGTCTGGAATTAAAAGACAGATTCTAACACAGTCTTACTTGGCCAGAGTAAGATAGCTGCAAACAGCAGCAGCCAGCAATCTTTAAAACTATCTGGTCAGAAGGATTTCATGGTGTTTGCAGGCATCTGCTGGCCACAGCAGGTACTGTAACTGGATTTCCAAACTACTGCAACTTCATTTTGAGGACAAAAAATACCCACAAAAACTGCTTATTTTTTTTGAATCAGTGTAGCCTACTAATTCCTAGTGAATAATTTCCCCCAAGTAATAAAAAAGTGGAATTAAATGGATCTGAAACGGAGAATGTAGCCATAAAATTCAATGCACACCTGCAAAATTCAGAAAATGAAGGGAAGAAGTGAGGTGGGGAGGGAGGAGGGAGGAGGGAGAAGGCTGAAGGAGAAGGTACTAGCCAAGATGTATTATATTCATAAATTGTTTTGTACTCCTTTGTAAACTAAAGACAATAAATATAATATTACAATGGTGGATCTGGCTGCTTGTCATTGACTAATACATATTATGATTTTGTATAGCAAATCATTCCAAGATTCTGATGTTTTCTCATTCTTCATTTCCTGGATCCTCCTAAATCAATTGGTATGAATACCATCCCACAATCTGAGCTGTTTACTTAAGGTATAATATTTACTAGACCCTGTGTTAGAAAATTCAGAGGGTCCTGAAACACTCAAGGAAACTCAAAAGGTAAAACCAGCAATTTAGTAAGAAAATAACTTAAATCTGAATTCAAACTAAAGGATGTGTTAATACAAAGATGGAAATTCTCAATTCCTTTAAAAGATTCATAGTGGTTTTACAAACAGTGACATTTTACTATGACTAAAAACAACTCTCAACTTTGAGGTAAGTGATGAGTGAATAGAGAAAGTTTTTTTTTAAAAAAACTGAATTATAGGGTAGAAAAGAAAAACATGATGTAGGAACTTGTCAAGCATGCAATAGAGTCAAACCGGATGAAGTTGAAAACATGCAAAGGGTCACATTATGGAAGGTCTTGAATACCAGGAAAAAAGTGTGGACATCTCCTTAAACAGTTTCTTCTATTTCATTCCACAGTATTATACATGTTATCTAGCATTATCCCCATTAAGAGCAGGGCCCCAGTATCCAAAATAACTGGAAAGGAGAGGTACTAAATGTACAAAACTATTGCATGCAGACAGTAAGTGTCAAGTTCATAATCCTCCCTGCCATAACCTGGAGCCAAAGCAGAAAGATAAAGAACAGTGTCAGCAAACGCTTAAGATGTCTGCATCACCCTGGTATTCTTTCCCAGCCCTTTAACAATTTCTTCTCCCTCACTAGCTCTTCTCCAACCTGTCATTCTTAAAAGTATGTGTCCATCAAAGTCCCGTCCATTCTTTAACAGCATCTTAAATGCCCCATGTAGTTTTACTTTGTTATGTCTTCAGCCAAAACTGAACATGAAAATTTATTCTGTAATTTAGGACAATAAACGGGCAGCCTCATATAGAAAAAGAAGAATACCAATAAAAGATACTGACAAAATAATTGCCTTCATCTCAACTGAATTTTCTTTCTAAATCTCTCCTGAAGAAGGCAAATCCCTTCTCATTATTTCAAATACCAGCTTTACATGAGAAAATGCCTTTCCCTTGATGCTCTCTTCTCCTTTGCTACCCTTTCTTCCTTATCTATCCATTTTACTCAATTCCATTTCCTTATTTTAAGTTAACAATAATATGTTGAACAGCTCCATGAGGTACATCAAACATTAAAAATCAATTCATTCAACTTACACCTGTCCCTTAAAATATCACTCTTCTAGTCTATCACTGAACTAGGTTAAAACAATCTCTGCTAAGTGCTGGTCACTCCCACCCATATAATTTGGACTCTCTCCACATCTACAGTTAGAGCTTGCTACAAAGTATTTGCCTGCTCTAAATTGTACTAGCATCACTGGTCTTGTTTGGATTTTCAGACCATATCACCTGTTGCCCAAATCAACACTTCCTTCTAAGGAATGTTCTTCATACCTATTTTTGATACAGATTTCCTCAACTGTTATATTTCAGCATTAAATTTACCATACTGGAGAAAATGGTTTTATCCAGCCTTTACTCTCATGCCACCCAAAGTCATGTGGGTAGATATTCCTGATTTAACAGTGACATGTACTTTCACTGTAATGTTATTATACATCATAACTTAAATGGTGGTTACATTTCATATATCTGAGATCACTGAATGAGAATATTTGATTAATACCATCTTAATAGTCTTCAAGTCATTTTTCTGTTTTCGTTGCCATCTTTCTTTATAATCTGGGTTACAGAAAGTTTTTCTGACTATCTCCCATATCCAATCAACCATGACTATACCAAAATCTAATGACTCATTTTAAAAATTTAATAATTATATATTTTCTAAAATATACTTTTATACTTCTGAACCTATACATTTGACTAATGCCCAGCTTACTGCAAGATTCTCCTGATCTGCCTCTCTACTTTCAACTTGTTTCCTTATAAACTTCTTGCCATTTATCATACAAATGTCACAACAGAGAAAATTAAGGAAAGGTTCATGAAGGAAACAAGCAAGATTGAAGTTCGAATGAGATTTTGATAGGCAACATTGGTTAAGATGTCCAGATGAAAGAGGAAAAAGACCTATGGAAAAGTTAAATGGAAAAAAATACAGTTAAAGACATGCCCAAATATCCTACAGGATGAACCTAGAATTATTCAGAAAAGTCATTACCAAAATAAATACGTAAATAAATGACATGATCGGTTTACCAAAGGAAAACTCTAAAAATGCAAACAGATTTAAGTGGTAATGTCAAGCCAAAATTAAAAGACTAAATGTTCTATAGAGTAGAGGGTCCTCTACATTGTTAACTAGCCTACTGATATGCAGAGAGGCCCAGCATTACTTGGACAAATCTCTTTGCTATGAGATTTTTAGTGTCAAAATTATTTACAAATGAATCCCTAGGTGATCTGTTCCCAAACTCTTATCTGCATAAGAATTAGAGAAGCTTATAAAAAAAAACAATCCTAATTAGATAATTAACGTTTTTGTCCAATGTTACTTTTAACCCATTTTTCAGTTAAAAAATATATATGTATCCAAACAGTACCATTCAGAATACATGATATTTTCTTCCTACTGGATTTCTTTAAGGATGTTTAAAAACATATAATAACCGATATGCCTTTAACAACATTACAGGGAAAAATAAATCCTTAGACAAGATCAAAATATATTTCACAAGCTAAAAACAATGTCAATTTAACATCAGGACGTTGTAGCTTCTCATTCTGCTCATTCATAATCTATCATGAGATCCCAAGATAAATCTTGTTATTTTTTTTCAATAGTGTAGAATTAATTTTATATTTTTCTTGTAACAACTAAAGGTAAAGACACTGTAGAGGGAAAAAATGTACTCAAATGACAACAGGCTCAAATGCCTACATTTCTCAGAGTGTGAAATGTTTCTTAAGGAAAGAAATTTTAAAGCATCCCTTGAGCCATAGCACACAGATATCTAGGTCAAATCTGTCATTTATCTACCACTTTCAGACAATGAAACGACCACAGGGCAATTCTGCTCACAGCTGAGTGGGAATGTGGGTGAGTTAGATTTCTTAGCAGGGGATAAAGGTATCAAGGCATTGGGAATGATGCCATTTTCTGTGACAAAATGAAGAAATCCTTATGGAGACATGATTGGACAACATTGAGGGAAGTGGAAGCAAACGAAGGACAGAGGCATCTCTGCACACTACCTTCAAGTGCACATTTAGACCATAAAAGACCCAACTTCTCTGTTCATATACTAGCTAAAATTACGCAGCCAGACAAAATAATAGCTGTGACCACACTGGTGCACACTGGATAATAACAGAAATTGCTTCCTGGTAGGAAACACCCACCCCAGTGTTTTTGTGTTTTGTTAGAGTGAAAACAATCCCCTGGACAGTTCATGGATAATTCCATAAGAAGCTGCAATTTAAATACCTGAAAAATAAAGATTAGGCTAAGGGATTGTAACAACTCAGTGAAATATAAAGTTTTTTATTACATCAATATCTACAAATATGAGCGCTCCCTTCATCCCACTGCAGTTGAGATTGGCTCTGAAAGGAAAAACAGATACAGAAAAAAAGTCCAGTGGGACACAGATATGAGACAGTCTCTCTTATTTGGGAATAAGGATACTATCATCAATAACACCTCATGACATGGAGGCCTGTCTCACTCTTCAACAGTTTTACTTCCTCTTCTCAATCAAACCAGGGAAAAGACACGGGTGCTAAGAAAAAGTAGCAGTCTGATCCCCTGAAATACAGGCTGTACTGAACTCACCCTTGGCACAGAAAATATGTCAACATTCAAATAGATAAGCAAATTAGACAAAGCATGGAAAGCAGTACACTAGCTTTTAAAAATGTTCATCTCGCCATCTTACAGTTCTCAAAGAGGTTTGTCCAAACCTACTTTACTTAAACACATTAACCTTTATTTAAACCTTCTATTACTCCCAGCCTTATTATATGCAGTGTGGGACATACAATCATATGGTATCTTCTATAGAAAAGCAGGTACTCTTCTGCCTTGCAGGACTATAACAGCAATATAAGAAATCGCTGTTTGAGCCACAGATATCACTAATAATAGTCCATGGAAATCAAAATAATCAAGAACACAATGAGAATGTGGCTAAATCTTTTAAGTTTTAAAGGGAATGTCTAAAGGTAAGCTAAAACATATCTAATTCTAGTTAACTAAAATGTGTCATATTTATTATTCCCCACTCTTTATTAATACATTTACAAATATAGAAAAATTCAATAGCATATGAATCTAGATTATATGTAACTATTATATATAGATATATTTGACAATAATTACTGTTATCCCTTTAAGCTAAGGAAGAACCAGTTCCAGAAATATTTCAGACACCAAAATCCATAGTTACTCAAGTTCCTTAAAATAATGTATTTATATTAATCTATATGTTTCCTCCTATATACTTTAAATCATCTCTGGGTTACTTGTTTAACCATGTCCAATTGAAATGCTACATAAATAGTGTACTGTATCAATGAAATAATAAGATAATAATGTCTGTGTACGAACAGTACAGGTGCCATTTCTTCTGAATATTTTTGATCCATAGTTAGTTGAATCAATACCAATATATAGTCTGAGGATATGGAAGGCTGGCTGTACATTCCCCAAAAGTGATTTAACTATGTATATATACAGACAATTGTACACATTTACAAATATTAATAAACATTCAATATGTGAAAGGCATTGGCAGATCTAATGACATTACCCCCTATGTACTTCAGTCTACAGCTATTAAGAATGAGGACAATCTCATATCTACAAAAATACATGCTTAGAACATGCAATCCACATAATGCTTTCACATAATAAGATTTTTATGAGTTCTAACTGTAAACAATCTTCCTTATATTCATCTTCCACATTCTATTTCATGTAGCCTTAATCTCCAAAATGAAATATTATATATATATATATATATATATATATATATATATATATATATAAAATCAATGCTATGTATGGTCTATCTTTTCCCAGATGAGCTTTTCATTGTTCTTTGTTTCTGGATGTACAAATAGCCTAGTCCTTGAAGGCTTATAGCAAAGGAAATCTAATACAGCAAGATTCTTCTCACTTGCAGAGTACAAAGCAATCAACCCACCCCTACTTTGCCATTTTCTATATAGAACTGACTTGTAAACATTCCTCAATGCTCTCTGTGACAAAAGCAATTTTTTATTCATCTTTATATCACTCAAAGCATTTCCTATGGTTTTGAAGACATACCATATGTAATTGTTACATATATAAGCTTGAAAAATGAAATGTAAAATTATGAAAAGAATGAGTTTATCATATGCAAATTCTTTTCATCCTGATGATCTACCTCCTATTTTTAAAAACCAAACTATTTGTTTAGTTCCCTGTAGTATTCTTAGGACACTGGAAGGCATTTTTGAAAACTGTAAGATGTACTTACCCTTTCATTATTGAAGTAAGAAATGGTAAGGCCATCAAATTTCACCCATCTCTTCTGAAACATGCGTTTTCTGTCAAATATATGAAATTGTTATTTTACATTCAAGTACCAGGAACTTAGATTTCAAGTGCATTTGTTACATAATGATGTTGCATACTTCCCATTTGTTGCTTGTTTAAGAAATAAACTATGCCGGGCGCCAGTGACTCATGCCTGTAAACCTACCTACTCAGGAAGCTGAGATCTAAGGATCACGGTTCAAAGCCAGCCTGGGCAGGAAACTCTGTGAGACTCTTCTCTCCAATAAACCACTAAAAACCAGAAGTGGTGCTGTGGCTCAAGCAGTAGAGCACTTGCCTTGACCTGAAGAGTGCAAGGAAAAGCACCCAAGCCCAGAGTTCAAGCCCCACAACTGACAAAAAAAAAATAATTTTTTTTTTATAAAAAGAAAGAAACTATATATAAAGAGTTTCTAGTCAGTTCACAAAGACATCTAAAATAATAATACTGTTAAGAATGTTGTGTTAAACCAGGCACCAGTGGCTCATGTCTGTAATCCTAGCTGTTCAGGAGGCTGAGATCTGAGGATTATGGTTCAAAGCCAGCTCGGGCAAGAAAGTCTGTGAGACTCTGATCTCCAATGAACCAACAGAAAACCGGAAGTGGAGCTGTGGCTCAAGTGGTAGAGTGCTTGCCTTGAGCTGAATTGCTGAGGGACAAAGCCCAGGCCCAGAGTTCTAGGCCCATGACCAAAAAAAAAAAAAGAATGCTGTTAAACACAGATGTGAGGTGGTGTAATGCAAAAGAGAATATGACATAAACTCTACCACTAAACTCATGTCCAGCAATGGAGACAATGCTTAAATGAAGATACACATAAAACTTCCATCCCTCATTAAGTTTCATATACATATTTTAATGTACCTTGATTTTTGCTTTACTGAATGAATAATATATTTTTCTGAACTAGCAAAGCTTTGTTAATTGGATTTATGCATATAAATTATTAATTTCGATTATTATAAGCTACAGAAGCCCTGTCAAAATATAATTATTTACAATCACGCAAAATGTGTTTAAATGTTTGTTATTATTGTTGTTTACTTTTTTCTTAAAAAAAAGGACCATGTGAAATTACATTCAATTTAAGATTGTTACTATCATATAATAATATCCTGTTTAGGCTTAAAAAATAAAACACTCAGTTGTTCTAAGTTTCTAAGTGAGGAATGCTGAACCTCTTCTATTTAGGCTTGTTTTTGTTTTGCTTTTTACTTCTCCCTTTCCTGAAGTCAGACAACACACTGATTTTGAAATCCTGTTCTCTCTGTGGCTTTCAGTGTGGACCAGTACCATCTGGATATGTCTGGCTTTTAAACTAGCTTCTTCTTGAAACAAAACTATTTTAGAAGAGTCTCTTCTAAACAAACAGGTAAACACCAACCAAGTTTACCTTAACCTTTTTCAGTTTTCTAACACATTTAAAGAGTTGATATTAACTTCCTGTGGCTTTTCAAAGATTTAAAGACAGAAAGAGAACTTCCGTGCTTCTGAAGAGTTTCGTCTTCTGGCAGCTTCCCTCCTCACATGTGTATTATACTTCTGTGAGGCACAGCGAGCCACCCAAACCAGGTCAGCATTTGTAAGCGCCTGAGGTCAAAGTAGACCAAGTCATGTCAAATGGAGGACGTTTCTCAGTACAGACAGAAGAAAAGAATTAGGTATGAAGTAATAAGAACACTGAAGGACCTTAACACCATCTAACCACACTGACCACCCAGGCCTTATCTCCTTTATCTCTTTGTTTCTTGAAACTTCCCTTGGCCTGTGTGCAGTGTCTCTTCTTCACACTGCAGCCGTGTTAGAGACATTGGTTTTCACTTTCATCAAAAGTTAAAAGGTAAAGAAATCAATATTAAGCAAACACGCTATAATTATACATGAATACATAAATGATCACTTTGCACTCATTTCGTGTTTATCTTTGCCATACTTAAAAGGCAGGCAAGTACTTTATTACACAACCCCCACCATAATTTGGTAAATCAAGATTTTTGGTTAGGGACCCATCTACTCTGTACCACCTATGGCAGTAAGTTAATAGCTCAGCAGCTCGTAGAATATCCCATTTTAAATTAAAACTAATCTCCATGTGTGGAGGGAGATGGTGGCCACAAGCATCTCCCTTATGTCCCCCATCTTTCCCTGATTAACTTCTTATCTTTCAGGATTATTCCTAAACCCTGTACACATAAACTACTTTCCTGATGACCCAATCCAAAACTCATCACAAAGCTATACTATCTCAAAGCAACTTTCACTTATCTCCTAGCACTCAACACAATCTCTGGTCAAATAAACTTGTTCACTTGCTTACTAGCATTCTCTCACTCCTTATACTTCACAAGAGCCAATTTTGAGCAACAACTGACAGTAATAAATATGGCACTAAAAAAAAGAAAGTGTTGAATAAATGATTATACACAGTCTTTTTTCCAACTATGGAAAAGATATTACAAAAACAAGGCCCTCTATTTAATCTTTTAAAATAATGCTTGAAGAAAGGGAGGCAAACCATTAAGAACTCAGAATTAAATTCTACTTGCCAAAATACCAAATAAAAACCGCTTAACATAATTGCAGCTACATGGAGTCATAAAGCTCTGTAGACTTCTACCACAATTTACATAAGCAATTGTGAGGTCCGGGGTATCTTCTAGGAGCTAGTAATTATGTCTGCTGGTAAATGAGAGGTAAGAAAGAAGCCGGATAGCTCAGCATTTCTTAGGCATAGAGATCAAAGATGCTACCATCTGATGAGCTACATTTCCCTCTCTGGCACTGTACTGCTAAGCACATACCCTACTCTTGTATCTTTGAAAAAGCCAAAGAAAATCAGAAGCTATGAATCTCAAGGCCTAAAAAAAAATGCTCACAACCATTTGAATTTTCTCAATGTCAGCTAACCATTAAATGTGCTTGATTTTAAACTCAGTATTTTTTAAATTAAATCTCTATCTCAATCAAGGAGAGAACAATTAAAGATGACAAATCCCATCCCAAATAGAAAAGCAATGAGATCAAGACATGTTTGTGAACATCTATAATTCTAGCATTAGAGAGGCAAAGGAAGAAGGAGGCTAAGTGTGAAGCCAGCCTAGGTTGCACTGAGAGACTCTGCTATTAAACTAGAGAGAGCAGAGGTACAGAGAGAGACAGTGCAAAGGGGCAAGGTGGGAAGAAAAAGAAAAGAACAAGAAGCACATGGTATAAAAATATTCAAATGTTTTTGCCTTCATGCAATTGTTTCTAACATATTTATTAGATGATTTCTTTGTTGCTTTGTATGTCCCTCCCCGACGGTATAACCCCTGCTTTCACTGTATTTGATGTTGGTATAATTTGTGGAGGGGAAGGGAAAAAACAAATCATTTAAAAAGGGATACAGTCCCACCAACAATGAAGTAAGGTTCCTTTCTGTCCACTTTTGGGCACTTACCCTAATGTTTACAAAAAAGACCACACTAAAGCTACCAGCACAACTATGTTTATTGCAGCATTATTTACCATAGCTAAGATATGGAACCAACCCAGATGCCCCTCAGTAGATGAATGGATCAAGAAGATGTGGTATATATACACAATGGAATTCTATGCCTCCATCAGAAAGAATGACATTGCTCCATTTGTTAGGAAATGGAAAGGCTTGGAAAAAATTATATTAAGTGAAGTAAGACAGGCCCAAAGAAACATAGGTCCCATGGTTTCCCTTATTTGCAATATCTAGTATAGGTATGAGTCAAGCGGAAAAAGTCAGATAATGTGATGTTAGGAAAACGAACCCTCAAATATGTATTTTAATGTTTTTGTTTCTTTCATGCATGTGTTTCTAACGAATTCATAAGATTATTTCTTTGTTGCTTTGTATGTCCCTCCCCCACAGTGTAACCCCCGCTTTCACTATATTTGATGTCAGTATAACTTGGGGACAAACAAGTCGTTTAAGGATTCAGGTGGACCTGTTGCAACAATGAGAAGTACAAAATGTCATGTCAAAACCAGCTTTACAATGTCGGAGTGGGGGGGGGAGGGGAGGTATGATTGGGTGGGGGGGAGGGGGGAGGGTGGGAAGGGAGGTGAAGGGTAAACAAAGGAGGAGGCTGCAATGCTTGGTAAGAAATGTATGCATTATCCTGCCCATGTAATTGTAACCCCTCTGTACAGAATGTTCTCAAATAAAATAAAATAAAATTTAAAAAAAATAAAATAAAATAAAAAGGGATACAGGTGGACCCACTGCAACAATGAGATGTACAAGATATTATGTCAAAAAACGAACTTTATAACTTTGGCTGAAGGGGGAGGGGAAAGGTAGAGGAGGGGGAGTGGGGAGAAGGGAAGGGATGGGAAGGGGAAACAAAGAGGAGGCAACAATGCTTGATAAGAAATGTACTCATTATCTTGCCCATGTAATTGTAACGCCTCTTTATGGTATTTTCACAATTAAAAAAATAAATGTAGCAAAGCAAAGAGACACCATTCTATAGTTTAAGCTGTTTTGCAATCTTACACCAAAATGTCACTTCTGATAATCATTCATTCATTCTGACATTCAAACTCTTCAAACAATACCTTCAGGCCCCACTCTCTTATCACTAGACCTTTTCTTACCCCATAGTCTTCTCATTTTCTGTACTTTGGAAAGTGCTCTCTAGTTCCTGACATAGCAGGATCCTTTCTTTCCTCCAGTTCTTAGCTTAAAGGTCATTTCCTCCAATCACACAGATCCTTATTCTCTTGCTCTATTTCTTCACATTAATTAAACATACCAAAACATAATTATATGTTGTTTTGTTTTGTTCATGTCCCACACTAGATGTGAGATGCTTGAAGGTAGATGGTGTTTGTTATGTTTATATAAAATCACTAAGGACCACTGATCTTAGTATATAAAATATGCTTAATAGATATCTAGTAAATGAAAGGATTTAAGTGGAAAATGCATATTCAATTTTATATTTTATAATTCTTATAGCACTTTACCTTAAATTTCATTTTTTGCTTTATTTT